TGTACCGTCTTATTAATATTAATGTACCGCCAAACTCTCTACAAGTGTCGTCATCGCTTGGGTTATCCCAAAGAGCGATTTATAGGTCAGGTTTCCACTGTTGACTATCCTGTTATGTTTAGATACAGCGCCTGAACTTAGGCATGGCATGGTAGATGTTTTACGGCGGTATAGAATAGAAATGACAGTTACGGCGTCAGCGAGGGCCTTGTTTTGATATAATTTTTGACTAGTATTTGTTTCTGGCGTCTTTTATTTTATTATTGTGGGTGCTTTACGTCATAGAACATTAAAACATTTTGGGCGAACCGCGCCTGGTTGGGACACTGTATCCCTTTCAGCCCGGGCTGACCCAGGCAAGATCGAAGACCGCATACTATATGAGCCAAATCTTGTCGAAGGAGACGTCAGACACCTACATAATAAGCAATTAACTTAAATGTAACCCCTAAAAGAGAACTCAAAGATCTCTGTTCATCAGTGCCTCACTAGATCTCTTAAAGCTCACTTTGGGATAAAACACAGTAAACAAAGACATACAAAGCAAAGGCTCAAGACTTGGAAATTTATACAGTAACGTAAAGCTTATTTAGTATAATATAATATGGAAATAAATTCGCTGCTTGGAGCAAGCATTTGATGCCCTGCACTGGGTGTGATACACAGACGGAGATGCAATTAATGACAAACTCAGGTGCCCACTGTCACCCCGTGTAGCTTCATGTCGACCAGGGTCACTTTCCCTGTCCTGGCCACATACTCTAAGGTATTAAATAAGCGAAGTGTCTCTCCCCCCCCCCTCCCCCCCCTTCTTATTAATTTTGGACCATTGTCCACCTCCCCCCACCCTTTTATTCTTACGAAACTTCTAGGTCCTCAGTATATGAGTGTTTTAGGGCCTATAAATGACAGCTTGCACTGTATGCTTCCCAGGAAGTTGACTTTGTTTCAAAATGCTCTCACGTCAGCTGGGGTAATGGTATAGAGTGTAAAGTGCAAAGAGCTTGCTGTTGAGCGGGAATTTGCGCTACACAAATTAATGCTGTATATCATTGGAAAATACCAGGAGCCAGCCCGAGAGGTTATTTATTCAAGGTCGGCATTCTAGTTCTTCAACAAACGCTTGAATTTGCATTGGTTGTTAGACTAAACCACCACCTGGGCATAGATGGCTGGTGCCTCTATAAATACATTTTATTTTATTATTGATGGTGTGGCATTGGTTGTTATAGATGCTGGGTGTAAAAAGGTAGAACCAAATTGGAATTTTTCAAAATTAATCCACTTCCAGGAGAAACAGGCTAAAACAGCACATGGACATGGATGGCTGCTGTATCAATAAATATATTAATTGTTTATGGTTGTGATCGTGGGTCGGTTTGTGGAGAAGAAATATTATATTTGGTCAAATTCAAGTTTTAAAATGTACAAAAAGCAAGAAAAGACGCATATTGTAGGGGAGATGTTAAAGGAATGAGAGAGTTAGTTTCTTTTCCCCCTCCCCGGAAACAAATTAATTTGTGTGTGTGTGTGTTCTGGGCTTCGAACATCTGTACATAAGGAGAGAATGGACTTACGATAAGGGAACAAAAAGGAGGGGTCTTCTTAGTTACCAGGTGACCGGCCCATGCATCTTCAACACATGCAATCAACACTACAGGCTATGCAACTGTAATAACGTATATTCTTGGTTTCCAAGGACCCTCAAGCGATAGAAATTACTAAACTTTGGCGGCCATTTCTAACTTATTTCACCTCTGAAACCAGGCGACCCTGAGCTCCTTCAATCGCAAATATTTCGACTTCTATTCAACATATTCTGAAAGACTCAGTAAAGAAGAATGAGTTCAAGTTGGAACTGAAGAACAGATTTCAAGCCCTTCAAAATCTGGATGAATGTGAAGTCAACGAACACTGGGATAAGATAAGAGAGGCACCGTAGGACCCAAAGACAACACCAGGAATGAATGGATTTCACAGGACTCTCTAGAAAAAGTCAAAAGAAGAAGAGAGCTGAAGGCCCAAGTCAACAACAGCCGTACCCGATCTGAGAAACTCGCTGCACAACAAGAGTACACCGAAGTAAACCGGGAGGTAAAGAATTCCATCAAGAAGGACAAGAAAACCTACCTGAATGGCCTGGCCGAAAAGGCAAAGAAAGCAGCAACAGACGGGCTTTTACGGATTGTACACCAGACTACAAGAACTCTTTCAGGTAGGTTCAGCAAGCCCACTCTACCAGTGAAAGACAAAGAGGGAAAGACTGTCTTCAACCCAGAGGGGCAACTTAACCGATGGAGAGAACACTTTGATCAACTATTGAACAGACCACCTCCAGAAAACCAACCAGGAATTATTCCAGCCAGAAATGAACTCCCAATAGTCACGGAACCACTTTCAAGAGAGGAAATTGTAGCTGCTATAAAAACACTAAGTCCCACAAGGCAGTTTGTCCCGACCATATACCACCGGAAGCTTTTAAAGCAGAGAAAAATACGTTTGTGGAAATTCTCTATGCTCTATTTGAAAAGGTTTAGCAAAAGGAGGAAATACCATCAGACTGGAAGGAAGGCCACCTAATCAAGCCGCCAAAGAAAGGAGACCTCAGCAATTGTAACAACCACAGAAGCATTACACTCCAGTCTTTACCTGGAAAAGTCTTCAACAGGATACTCCTGGAGAGAATCAAGCTGGCAACAGATGAGAAGCTTCGAGGAAACAAGGCCGGATTCCGCAAAAACCGATCATGTGTGGACCAGATCGCTACTCTGCGTATCATTGTTGAGCAATCGCTTGAATGGAACTCACCACTTGTGGTCAACTTCATTGACTTTGAAAAGGCATTTGACAGCGTGGACAGGGAAACTCTGTGGAAACTCATGCAGCATTTTGGAATACCAGAGAAAATCGCCAAGCTTGTGAAGGCCACCTATGATGGAACAAACTGCCAAGTCTTCCACGAAGGACAACTCTCAGAACCATTCCAGGTACAGACAGGAGTGCGACAAGGATTCTTGCTCTCACCTTTTCTCTTCAAACTGGCAATTGACTGGGTCATGAAAGAACTTACCAGAGGCAAACGTAATGGAATACAATGGATCCCTTGGCAGCAGCTGGACGACTTAGACTTCGCCGATGACCTTGCACTGCTCACTCACACACATGCTCAGATGCAAGAAAGGACCAAGGAACTCAACAGCCTATCAAGGCGTGTTGGCCTACGTATACACCCAGGCAAGTCAAAAGTAGTGAAGCTAGGAAAAGTTTCAAGCCCTGCTGTGACAGTGGAAGACACTCCCCTGAAAGAAGAGGACTCCTTTACCTACCTTGGAAGTGTCATCGATGGTAAAGGTGGAACCGAGGCAGATGTTAAAGCAAGAACCGCCAAGGCAAGGTCAGCCTTCAAGCAATTATCAAAAGTCTGGAAAGCAAGAAACATCTCACTGCGTACCAACAGATGTATGAGGAGTATTCTAAGAAGTAAGTGGCAGGATAGAATAAGAAATGAAGAGCTGTGGGAAGGACAGGACAAAAGGATATAGAAGTAGAAATAGGACTAAGAAGGTGGCGATGGATGGGACACATTGGAAAGCCCAGCGGAAACATCACAAGACAGTCACTGCAGTGGAACCCACAAGGAGCACGAGGCAGGGGTAGGCCAAGGGAAACACGGAGGAGATGCGTGGAAAGGGACATGAGAGAAATGAAGCTCACTTGGAACGAGCTTGGAAGGATGGCCCAGGACAGAGATAAATGGAAGGAGCTTGTATGTGGTCTATACCCTGTCAGGGGTGAAGGCATTGATGATGATGATTCAGCATAAGCTTTTGTGGATACTTTTTCACCAAAAACAAGGCAAATGCGCGGGCCAGATGATACCAATAACCCTATATACCCCAAAACTGACGAGTGTCCGACCCCATCAAGTCGTGACACAAATTAATTGGCCAAAATTTCGCCTGGAAGGTTTCCCCACGAGCGACAGAGGGCAAAGCCACGGGATGAGTTTGATAATTTCCATCGTTTGAGAGTCCTTGGAAACAGAAAATTTATATTTTTGCGCATTGAATCAATGTTTTTCAGTAAAATCCACACAGAAATGTGTTTTTAAATGGATATAAATGTTGGTGCGCCAAATGAGAAAGAAAAAAGTAGCCCAAGGGCCAGAAAAATGCCTTTTTTTTTAAAATTTCATTTTATTGACGAGCACCTGATTTCACCATGATGCATCACATTATTTTTATCCGTATTATCTACTTCAAAGTAACTAACAATTATCCAAGTCTCCTCTCTCTTACTCTACATTTTCCCCCATTTTGTCTTCTCTAGTTCCGTGCAGCAAATGACGTGTCACAAGCCTAACTTGCTAAGGGCACTCCGTTAGCTCAGTTAACGTCATGTTGAACTACAGAGCAAATTAAGGATCCAGGTTCGTACCCATGCCTGGGCATTTTTGAACTCAGATCGTTCTTTAGAGTTCCAAGGCCCTATCGAGACTCTCAACCCCTTTGGCTCGGTCCTATCGGGGACAGAAGTTACATTCGGAGGTTCCGCTTTTCGAAAGACCGAATAGTGTTGTTAGGGACGTTAAAGCCATACACTTACTTTTATTTACACACTCGCTATGAGTTTCCCTTACAGCAGTATTCCCACATCAATGTTTGCGAGTTAATTTCTTAATGCTTGTTAGAAACTGCTCTCTGTATTTCTTATTGAAGTTGAAATATACGAATATATTAATGGAAGAGTTTACCGAAATCAGTATGTTGTGTACTTCATCAATTATCCAGAAAATATTCTTAAACTGCCCCTGTGTAGAAAATTCATCAAATATGAACTCGCATATTGACGCTACAATGTAAGGTATGTAGCAGCCGATGAAGATGGCCGAGACAAAAGCAACAGTTTTGATGACGTAAATCTCTTTTCTGTCAGTGACGTTCCCCGTTTTGCCAGATGTGGACTTTGTGCCAGAGGCTTCCGGTTGAGCTCTAGCGGCTGAGTAGTTGGATTTCATATTGCTGCGGAATCTGGCAGACTGTTCGAGTTTGACGGTCAGGATAAGCAAGCAAACAATGACCGTTGTCAGCGAAATGACAGGTAGAACAGTTCTGTTGAACACCAAGTAAAAAGACATGAGGGCGGCGAAATGTGGAGCGCTTTTATAGACCAGCTCTGTTCTGTTGGTGAGAGGGTTAAACCTTGGCTGGATCCTGTGGGAGATGTTCATAGGGAGATAGGAGAGAAACATCATGGCGAATATCGTCAACAGGACCACGACACAGCGTGAACGAGTGAACGCGTTCTGAAACACTAACGGGATGGCGACGCATGCGCACTTCTGGAGCGCGATAAACACCGTGATGGCCATAGAGCTGTCGATGGACACATTGCCGTACCACACGATCAAGAAACCCAGGAAAGGAAAACTGACAGATGGCTCTAAGCTGGAAAATTTCATCAGGATCGTTAAGGATGTGAGAATTAAAACAAAGATGAGATACAGAAAATCGGCCACAGACAAGGCGAGTAGAGAAACCGTTATACCGTCGCTGCCGCCGATTCGAGAGAAAATGAAAATGTTCAGGACGTTCGTGGCAATCCCAAAGATTTGAATCGCCATGTGGGCGAAAGTCGTGAGAACATAATAGTAGACGATCTGAAACACACGGTCGCTGATGAAACCGTGTGGTTGGACCTGTGCCAGCAGTTGTGACCCATTACGCGGTACCTCCATGACGCTAGATAGATAGATAGACAGCGAGCGTGCAGAATAATTTGCGAGGAAGCTCTTTGGGTTACTACATGTATAGCATTGTATTCTACAATTTATAAAGACGCATACTGCTACAAGTACAACAAATTAATATGATACGTAAAGGAATTTAAGTAAATAGTAAAATATCCAAGCGCTTATTTAGGGCGAATTACCGGAGGTGTAACTGTAATTTAGACAAATTGTAGGAATATGTACGGGTAATTGAATACGGAAACAAGATCTTGCAATTAAAAATACCAGGTTATACGTAAATCAATATGCATGGGATATTATACTCAAAGACCTTATTGGTGCAGGAAATGTGTAATCTGCTGCCACAATAATTGCTGTCATTATATGTCAATATATTTTAATAAGTAGTTTTTGTTACATAAAACTGATCGTTGAAGGTTAAAATGAAAAAGAAAACCATTTCCAGCGTTATTTTGCAAACTGTTCTTTTAAAAAAAAATGATGGGAGAAGAGAAGTATGTTTGTCGTTGAAGTTAAATAGATCTAAGTATCTATTTAATTTAGTTTACAACGAGAAGTCCTCACGTTATAACGTTATAGGCCTATACCAGTCTTTTGGTTTTGTCAGTATGGCCACTCTTTTACTGCCCTGCATTTATAGATTTAAAAAAGATATACAGCATATTTTGTATGGACGATTAACAATAAAACGTTAACTTTAAAAAGACTAGAAAATAAACAAGAGCATCGGCACAATAACTGTTCACAGAAAATATTCTCAAAATAGTGAATCCACCAAATTATAGCGTCACTCCTTTCTATAAGAGACTATTTCTGATGACGTATTCTTTTGAAATTTATTGTAAATTCACAAGAGAGGTCTTGGAAATATATATTAGATAAAATATAATAAAGCCATTTCTCCAATAATTATTTTAGGAAGCGCCAAAGAAATGGCTTTATTTTATCTACGGTCTCGACTGCCTCAGATATGGTAAGGAAACAGTATAATCTTGTCAGGGGTTTTAATCCCCCCCCCACCCCCCTTGTAATTGTGTTCATCCGTTTGTTAGACTTTGGGACGACACGTTTTATGATTTAGTTGAAATTTTACAGGAATGCCACACAACTGGGTCTTATTAATAGACCGAAGATTAAAGGTGCAAAAGACGAGTAACAATCAAAACAAAACAAAAATAAAAGAAGGAGAGAAAAGAACGATAGACTGATATATGTTTTATAGTAGAGGGTTTTACGGCGCTCGCAACTGTATAAGGTCATATGAGCGCCAAGGGGTGAATGTCAACAGAGAAGTCTTTACAGGCAATCAGACTTACTCAGCTCACCTCTCTAGCTTCAACAGCACAAGTTCTGCTTCGACTATCAAGGCACCCCGGAAATAGCGGGTGTGACAAACTTACAAAAGAAGTAGAGGAAAATGGCAATAGTAAGGATTAGGAAAGAAAAAGCAGCAGTTCCCTGTTGTAGATCAGGCTCAGTTATGAGCGTGACATAATGAATCAGCCCATTTTCAATTCCACTGTGCTTGAACAAGAAATGTCCCCCCTTTGGGAATGGCCTAAAGACACTACAGTCAGCGGCACTGCCCCAGGGTTACGATAGATATTTGATGGGGAAAAAAGGAGCAAACCACTCAGAGCACCCGCCAACCACCCCTTTTCGGGAGGCATTAAAACTTAACGAAATTCATTTTGAATCCACCGAGAGGAAGAAAGCAACACAAAAACAAAACAAACAAAAAACGGGGGAGGTGGGGGGGGGGGGGGGTACGAATTAATTCTTTCCTTTGTGAGGACAATTTGTATCGAGTATATCATTATTATCAGTTTTTCTGCGGGGACTTTGAGGTAAATTAATGTATCCTGAACCGCACACTTTTTAACGATACCGGTACATTTTGGTTGTCAGTACCATTCATCGATTACATTCTCCTTTTTTTTCAGCATTATTTCAGTTACATTCAGTGCTACGAAAACTATTTCATTTTTTTCCCAGGTGAGTCAACTGGCAAAGCAACTGAGGTCTACTCGTGCCTTATACAAATAAAACTAGTTTACAAAAACCGATAATTTTCGTCTTGCATTAGAATGACTGTTAAGGGTTTTTGTTGTTTTTTTGCTTTCTTTCATTGAGCCACAGTTGTGTAGCGAGCATGCCAAAATGGCTCTTACTCAAATAAGTGTTAAGTTGTGAAAACGACAACATATTTTTTTAGTCAAAAGTGCGCGCTCTGATAGTTTCCCTTATCCCTGACAAGCAGGATCGAAGCCCGTCTCCTATATGAGCTACGTTGTGAGGAAACAAGGGGAATAAATTTGTTTTATGATGCAACAGCGGCAAGGCGTCGTAAAAAGCCAATGGCTTGAGCCCCGCACTCGACCCAAATTGAGAAATGTTTCTATGACATAATTTATTCATTTGAAACCGTTAAGACTGCTTTACAATCTTCGGCCTCTAGTTGTACACAATGAACACACACGCACACGTATGCACACACAGACACACACAGACACACACACACACACACACACACACACACACACACACACACACACACACACACACACACACACACACAAACATACGTACACACACACACAAACATACGTACACACACACACAAACACACACACAAACACACACACAGACACACACACACACACACACACACACATACCCACACACACAAACACACACACACACACACACATTTGCATGTTTGTTAGCCACACTAATTATCAACATTAGGAATGGTAATAACCAAACAGCCAATCACATTATTTTCTATCATCCTGACTCAGCAAAGGATACAAGATACAAATCCTTTCTCGCTGCCCTTTGTTAATAAAACTCTTTTTGGAAGAAGAAGAAGAAGAAGAAGAAGAAGAAGAAGAAGAAGAAGAAGAAGAAGAGGAAGAGGAAGAGGAAGAGGAAGAAGAAGAAGAAGAAGAAAAGCTGTAAATAATTTTTGTTAAAGAAATTTAATTCTTCCCTATTAAGTGGGCTTTTCTTTTCTGTGTGAATAAGTAGCTTAGAAATATATTAGATGTGTTATATGAACTCATAATTATAGATGTTCTACTTTTCAGCCTTTAGTAATCATGTTTTGTGTTGTCTTTTATGTAGCCTATATATTAAAAATATTGATAAATCTTGAGCCTAATTGTCGCTTGATACGTCAGAATTTTTTTGGGGCACATGGGACCTTGACCGTGCGAGCACACGTGATGTGGGGTGTGACGTCATGCTGTTCTCGGCAAGATGAGTGCATAAAATACGCGCGTGCGGGAGCGACTGCTGCTAAACTTCTCCGCTCCACCCTGGTACTTCTGTGAGCCTCTTGATCAACCACTGGCCAGACACCGCGAACAATAGGGGAAATTTTTACAACCAAGTGAGTATCTTGATCATAATAACAATTCTAATAGAAATAATAGCAATAATATTAATAGTGATAATAATTATAATGATAAAGATAATAATAATGATAATAATAATAATAATAATAATAATAATAATAACAATAATAATAATTTAAAAAAAGTAAAAAAAAAAAATAATAAAATAATAATAATAATATAATAATAATATAGACTTGGCCTATAAACTTTAAAAACCCTTTTACTAAAACTTGTTTTTTCTTTAATCTGATAAATGTGTGTTTTCTTTTTGTGCGTTGGGCATTTTGAATTTGTATTGTTCATTTACTTTGGTTGTTTTTGTTAGTTTGTTTGTTTGTTTGTTTGTTTTGTTTTGGTTTGGTTTTTTGTTGTTGTTTTTAAAAAAACACAACAGTTCTTCCAAACGTTTCTGCACTTTGTTCCTTGATTTTTTTCCAATATGTCTATTAGTCTTATGTTGAATTCCATACGATCACTTTACACATTTATTTTGTGTAAAAGTAAAAGTGAAAAAATAATTATAGCAACAACTTTTTATCATCAAAAAACTTTCGAACAATTAAATAGGATTATAACAGTTGTTTTTTTCTCAGTATTGCGCTGGATAGGAGTCCTCTGAGTAATCTGTATAAAATAATTGATTGGCATACGTGAGATTCGTGGTTACTATAAAAAAGTTGGTGTTTTTTGTCGGTTTGCATTTTGTCCAATACAGCTCATATTCAGTTTCATCAAAAATAAACCTAGGTATACAGAGAGAGGACTATTCCTTCTTTGTACTCAACCAATTTTGTATTTCAAGTTTTCAGCAAGACAAGCCACCCTTAAATAACCCTGCTCATATTTGCTTGGAACAAACATAAAAAACAGTACCGAATAGTAATCAAAGGTTTTAAAAAGTATTTAACCCCAACCCTAACCCTAAAGCCCTAAAGCCCTAAAGCCCTAAAGCCCTAAAGCCCTCACCCCCTAACCCCCGAGCCCGAACTCTTAACCCAAAACGCCTAACCCCCAGCCCCCATCCCCTATCCGCGTAAAGTGAAAGTCAAATTCCACCTCATTTGTATTCTTTCTATCAGACATCCTGCTTCCTAAATTCTATTTCGTGTGCTAATGTTGGTAAACTGTTTCACAGCCAGTCCAGCACCTATATAGCAAACATATTTTTCAGGTCCTGAATTTTTCCTTTCACGTCATCTCTTTGTATGTAAAATCACGTTCTTAGCGAAATGTGTACACCATTACAAAGAGATTTCTGTGATCCACCAATGTCGCCATAGTATACTGCATTATTTTACACATGCTAGCTTGCATTTTCCCCCCAAATTCTACTTCATTCCCACACCCCATACTCAACCTACCTCTCACCTCTACCCTTCCACCTCAACCCCTATGTCTATCAATTACCAGGTCTTCTCTAATGTTTCACCCCTTATGCACTCAGACCCTCATCTCTATGTCTGCAATTATCAGTTTTTCTCTAATGTTTCACCCGCACCCCCGCCCGCCCCTTCCTCACACCCCAATACAAACCCAGACCCTCGATCATCTCTATTTCTGCCAATTACCACCAGTTTTTCTCTAACGTTTCACCCTTTCTCTTCTATTACCTCCCCAGAAAGAAGAATGCGCATCCTTGACCTTGTGCCGTTGGCCGGCCTGGTGCTGTGTGTCTCCGTGTCTGCGCTGGTGAGGAAGTGGGGAGAATGATGAAACGGTATAGGTTTAATTAACGCCCCTATCAACACTGTTAGGTTAATCAAGATGCGGGATCTCTGAGTTAAAGGCCCAACTCTGAAAAAGCCGAGCCAAGTGGGAAATTTGTGTAAAGTGCCATTCTCAAGGAAACAACGTCAGATCGAGCTGAGACAAAGAGGTCCGAAACCAAATTAATGTTCCACTTGCTCTATCAAACTCGTAAGATTATATTTGGAGTCGCTATCAGGATATTCAGAGAAGTGCATTCGACAAAATGTGAAATGCTCCGAC